AGTGTGTTTTGGACCACCATCTCTTATTCTTTCCTCTCCCATGACAACCTCCTGTTCAGCAATGTGACAGGCAGCTACAACAAGATAATCTTCAACTTGCTCTTCCTATTGAATTTAGCTAGTGCAGATGGAAATTTTCATTTGGTTCTTTTCTATTTTTATTTTCTGACCTATTTTTTTTAAACAATAAGAACTTGCCAAAACTTCTGTTTCTTCATAAGAAGGAAAGAAAAAGCTCAAACTGGATTATTTCTGTAGTGTGTTTTGGACCTTATTTCAAAGTAAAGAAGTAGTTTGTACCCAGTTAACGGGGGAAGAGGAGAGGAGAGGATGGAATGCGATGGGTTCTTGCACTGCCTTGTAGACTCAGGCAAAAGCAATCTGCTGCAGTTTCTCCTAGCCCATGTGATCTTCATAATTAATGATTTTTGACATTGCTGGGGTCACAGGTTGCACATGTACATAGAGTCATTGAATCATAGAGTTGGAAAAGAGCACAAGGGCCATCCAGTTCAACCCTCTGACATGCAGGAAGACACAGTCAAGGTACTCTTGACAGATGGCCTTCAGCATCTGTTTAAAAGCCTCCAAAGAAGGAGTCTCCATCACTTTCCGAGGCAGCATGTTTCACTGTTGAACAGCTCATACTGTCAGGAAGTTCTTTCTAAAGTTTAGGTGAAATCTCTTTTCCAGAAGCTTGAATCCCTTGCTCCATGTCCTAGTGTCTAGAGAGCATGTTGTTTGTTTTGATGTTATAGATAAAGTGTTAGGGTGGCAGACAAAAAGTTCAGTCCTCATGCTCCAAAGAGGGTAGAAAAGTGACAGCAACAAAGGTAGTAAAAGAAGGCTGTAGTTTTATTTCTCAATTGCAGCCACAAATTCTGTTCCTTTAAGATCAGGTCTGACTCTGCTTATTTGAAGCCAAAATCCCCTTGATTGTATGGGTTCAGTGATCCTTTCAAGAAGATCTCATGCTCAGGTGTGCAGAAATCTTTAGCTGGTGTGACAGGCAGGTGTTTCAATAAAGCCACTGAACATCAGGGCAACTAAAATGGTGAAGGGTCTGGAAACCAAGCCCTATGAGGAATGACTTAGGGAGCTGGGGATGTTTAGCCTGGAGAAGAGAAGGTTAAGAGGTGCTATGATAGCCTTGTTTAAATATTTAAAGGGATGTCATATTGAGGAAGGAACAAGCTTGTTTTCTGCCGCCCCAGAAACTAGGACCCAGAACAATGGGGGCAAGCTCCAGGAAAAGAGATTCCACCTCAACATTAGGAGGAATGTCCTGATAGTGGGTGCTGTTTGACAGTGGAGCACACTCCCTTGGAGAGTAGTGGAGTCTCCTTCCTTGGAGGTCTTTAAAAAGAGGCTGGATGGCCATCTGTTGGGGATGCTTTGATTGGGAGTTCCTGCATGGCAGGGGGTTGGACTGGATGGCCCTTGTGGTCTCTTCCAACTCTATGATTCTATGATTCTATGATCATGGTTTTGTGCCTTCTGCTTAGCCTAATAGAGGTACCACCCATGCGTATTCTGGGGTTTTGATTTACTATTGTATCCAGTCCCACCAAAGTTGTTGGACTGCAAATCACATTAGCTCTGTCCACTGTGAAGGATAATGGTGATTACAATCTAATACTGTAATAGTCCAACAATTTCTGGAGGATCATATGTGTCATGAAGGACTCCGAATTTTCTGCTGGAGAACTTTAGCACCTTGTTGAGCTAGAAGAGTTCCATAGGAAGAAGTGAGAGCAATTAAAATGGGATCAAACTGATATAATTGTGCAGTTTGAATACAATCTCAGTATGGAATATAAGGAATCATTTAATACTGGTTTACCTTGTAATGGTTGCACCAATCATATTTGTTGCATTCATGAACTGTCAGAAATGATGGATAAATATTAGGCATTATTCTTGAATTATACTAGGAGTCATGGCTAGTGGGTATCTCAGACACTTTGTATGGGAACGCGGAAAGCCATTTAGGGTGACCTCATGAATTACAACAAGAGGAATTACAATATTCACAATTGTTCTTCTTTTCACCTTTTCACCTAGGGGTGGGGAAAATATGACACCCTCCTCAATATTGCTGGATTTAAACTCATAATCCTTCACTATTGGTTGTGTTGGCTATGGATAACAAGAGTTTCAGTCCAGCAACATCTGGAGGGCCACATGGTTCTTCCTCTGAAATAAATTACTAAATAAATATCAAATTTGTTGTACCCATCAACACATGCTTTGAAGCACCCTATATGTCTACATTTATGTCAGGCAAGAGGTGATGCAGAAATTCATTTCAGTGAATGCTCTGAAGTTCATCCAGAAATTTTCAGCAAGTAAAAAAAATAGTCTTTTAAAGTGTGTGCGTGTTTACTAGAGTCTGATGTGTACTTTAATCTCTGTGTTATTTATTTAACCTTTCTCTTGCTCATCTTTTTAAAAATGTTCAGAGCAGCTCACAACATCAACAGTTTAAGACAACCATAAATAGCTGAGAAAAAAATGATTCAAATATAACAACATTAAAAATAAATATTTTATAACCCATACCACCCAACCAACTATGGGAATAATTGTTTAAAAGCTCAGAGCAGTTTAATAACAATAAGAACCACTGAGTCAATAATAAAGGCGTTAAAGACAATTCAAAATACACTTTAAAATAATACAGTAAAGATGTTTTAAAACCACAGTAAGCATTTTATAACCAGTACCAGCATTTTTTTTTACTATAGAAATATTTCAGACTAGCTTTCATAAGAGTAATATTTTACAGTACTTGCAAAATGTCTATAAAACTAGGGTTTAGCAAGCCTCTCTAAGAGTTAATTCCACTGTTTTGAGGCCACTACCCATAACAGAAGCAAGCGTTTCATTTAGTTCATGTTAAGAAAATGCCTGTTCATATGGACAAAGCTGCTTTTCTCATGGCCAAACTAGATGTTATATTGAAGATCCACATCTAGCATAATTTTCTTTGCCTGAAAGATGTTGCGGGGCAGGAGTTGTCTGTATGAAACTGGAGATGGGTGGATTTGACTCTTTCCCCTGCCTTGTTTTCCAGTTTAAATCCTCCTCAAGTTGCTATTAGCCATGGAAAAAGAAAAGCAAATAATTATGATTCACTTGGCCCTCTGTGGTTAGTAGTGGCTTAAAGTGGCAAATTAATGGTTATGTGGGAGGATTACTGTATATGCTCATGGATAAGTCTTTAAATTTTAATCAAAAATTGACCTCAAAAAACTGAGTCAACTTATCCACGGTTCAGTGTAAGTTGTGTATTTTAACTTTTATTAGGATGAACACAAATAGTTATGCCTGCAGGAATTTTGTATGTTCTTTGGCATTGTTTTCCTTTGCTCCATCCTTTAGATCCTTTGTTACATGTCCCTACGTTTTACCCTCGACTTATCCACGGGTCATATCAAAGTCCATAATTTTAGCCCTAAAACCTGCCGTTTACTTATACATGAGGCCGACTTATAGTTGTGTATATACTGTATCACTGTTCCCCCAAAAGCATATGGTACCCCAGCCCAGTTGCAGATCACCCCTCTTCAAACTTGCCTAGACACAAAGAGGTCGTGTCATGTATTTTCCTCAGTGCAATTCTAAGCATGTGGCACTCAGCCTTTATATTTTTCCGTATTTACAGAATGTTTATACCATCTGTCCCTACCATTAGACAGAGTGAGGCAATCAACTCAGTCATTGATGCTGGATGTTGTGAAATATCACATTATTGGCAGCTCAGGTTATTTGAATTCTATTTTTACTGCCTGGGTAGATGAAAGATTTTTGTGGGATTTTCTATCTCAAATGCCAAACAAACTAAACCAAAACAAACAAACAAAAAACCCATTCTGAGCAGTCTCAGGCACCAGGAATTGAAAATGGAGTTACCGTTAACACAGTTACCTGTTACATCTTACAAGTTTTTAAAAGGGTGAATGTAATAAGGTTGTTTTTGCTGTTGTTCTTGTGTGCCTTCAACTCGTTTCCAACTTATGATGACTCTAAGGTGAACCTATTATCGGGATTTTTTGGCAAGTTTCATTCAGAGGGGATTTGCCATTGCCGTCCTCTGAGGCTGAGAGAGTGTGACTTGCCCAAGGTCACCCAGTGAGTTTGCATGGCAAAACAGGGATTCAAACCCTGGTCTCCAGAATCCTAGTCCAATACTCAAACCACTACACCATGCTGGCTCATAATGAAGTTACATTTGAAAAGTAATGTCATCCTTGGAAAGGGTGTGTGTATAACAAGTGTTGTTTTCTCATTATTTTAAAGTTATTTTTGGAACATTTGATGGCATGCTTAGAGGTACTTTGAGAGATATTTTTTCAAGCTTTATGCTCTTATCTTTCCTAAACTGTGTTTTCCCCCAAATAATAAAAACAATAACAAAAATTTATTCAACTTGATTTCGATCCATGAATGAGGAACCTCCAAGTTATCTTATCCTCAGCAGCTCTGCTCAGGCCTTGCAGACTCATGGCTGTGTCTTCCCTCATTGAATATATCCATCACAGTCTGTCCTCTCTTCCTTCTGCCCTTCACCTTACCAAGCATTATCATCTTTTCTAGTGAGTTCTGTCTTCTCATGTATGGCCAAAGTAGGGCAGTCATTCTAGGAAGAGATCAGGCTTAGTTTGCTCTGTTGTTATTGATGTATGCCTTCAAGTTGTTTCTGACTTATAGCAACCCTATGCCAAGACAAGCATGGGATTATCCTGGCAAGTTTCTTCAGAGGGGGGGGGGGTTGTCATTGCCATCCTCTGAGGCTGAGAGGGTGTGACCCCCAGTGGGTTTCCATGGCCAAGCTGGGATTCAAATCCTCACCTCCAGAGTCATAGTCCAGTACACAAACCACTACACCACAGTGACTCTCTAGGTTTGCTGGTTTGCCCTAGGACCCATTTATTTGTTTTTAAAAAATAAGTAATGTTACAAAATAAGTAACGTTATTTATAAAAGTGTAATGAAAATGGAAATTAATGTCTGTTTTTTGGCCTTTAAACAAGTTAGAACAATGACTTAATTTGAAAAGTAATTTCCAAAACTCTCTTGGACACCAGATACCATGGGGTTGTGGTGGAAAAGTGGGTTCATAGTGGTAGTAAGGTGCCGTTAGCTTTTTTATCTGAGGCTGTTGTGAAGACACCCTGCAACTTTCTGCACTAGCAGAAATTTCTGAGGGATTCTTTCAGGCAGCTTCACACAATGGCAGTCTTTGGCTTCCCTGTCAGGGGTGAGGCAAATACACTCTAGGGTTTATTCTAGACTATCCAGGTTCCTGATTCCCAAAATAACCTCAGCACATCAGATAGCCCTTTTAACATCTGGAATAAAACTCAGAGCAGATCCGCCACACCCTTGACAGGAAAGCCTCTGGCTGCCCCAGAATGGGGCTATGATTCCCCAGGTTTCCAGCTGGGGAAACAAATCTCAGGCCAAGGGGAGGATTTGATTTTTCCATGGGAAACACCTGCTGAAATACCCCCTTCTACACAACCATGAAAAGGTACAGAAGCCATCTCCAGCTTTCATTCTGTCAACCCTAACCAGGTCTCACTTGTCCAGTGCAAAGGTGTTTGTGTGTGTTTTATGTTTGTGCAAAGTCAGTGCACCAAAAAGCCAGGAGCAAAGAGACAAGACAAGAAAGACAGCCAGTGAGCGCCTGCACTTGGGCCCATTATGCCATTTGGAGCAAGCCAGGGAGTGAAACACCAGCACTGTATCTTGTGCACCTTCTTGTTGGACAAGCCCTGGAAGCAATATTGCAAGACCTGGGAAAAACTATATTATGGGTACAGCAGATCAATTACTTTTTAAAGTAACTATCCAAGCCCTGTTGTACCCTCTGCCAATGTGGTTCTTTTTGGAGTTTTCTTCTTCTTGCTGTTGCTATAATCACTTATCGAATGCAGCTATTGGTCACATACAGCTAAATTCATAAGTACTCTTTTAAGACAAAACCCACTGGTTTTTGCTTTCTACTTGCATGCAACCAGTCCAAATGTTCCTCTGCTTCATCAAGTCCCTGGACACTTTGGCAACTCCTTTGCAGACAACTTTAGTTTCAGGTAACAGGACCATAAAAACAGTTATCAATTTACACATTGTGGTTTGAATGTTATAACCCTGCAATTACTGTGCAATTATAAAAAATGTAGAGGTGTAATAGTTGATTCCTCATTTCCTTGCAACTCACCCATGCAATTTATATTATACAAGGTGAAAAGTACCCATAATTATATGACTCTCCAGCATTTAGACCCGCATCTGAACAAACTCTTTGTCCTCCTAGCTGTCTGTCCTATATAAGCCAGCCAATTAATGGGGTTTGCATATACTAACCACATGCTGGCAGGCTAATAGAGCCAGCATCTGAGCATTGGACTATGACTTTAGAGAGCAGGGTTTGAATCTCTGCTCAGCCATTGAAACTCACTAGGCAAGTCACACTCTCTCAGCCTCAGAGGATGGCAATTGCAAACCCTCTCTGAAGAAACCTGCCAAGAAAACACTGTGATAGGTTCACTTTAGGGTCACCTTAAGTCAGAAATAATTTGAAGACACACAACAATCTCTTTTTAAAAGCCTCTTGTAGAAAAGCGCTTGACAGTTGTTGGGAAATCTCAGACTGAAGAAGTTGCTCTTGGATGTAGTGCGGGGAGGGAGGAATAAAGTACAGTCTTTTATTATTCTCAGACATGTAGTATCCTTACCAGCACAGAGACTTTGGTCAGTTTAAATGACCTTTAAATGACCTTGGTCAGTTTAAATGACCTGCACAACAAACGTTTGTTATTTTAATAGCCTTTTGGCCCAGGACTGGCTATTTTTGGATTCTCAGTACTGTAAAATTCCATCTTCAGTACATACTCTGTCACCCAAGGACACAATAAGTTTGTTTGAAGTGGATCCTAAGAAATAAGAGAATAATAATTCCTTCAATAGAACCTGAATTTGATGTAGGTTTGAGTCCACACTTTAAAGTAGCTATCCAAAGTGTGTGTGTGAGAGAGAGAGAGAGAGAGTGAGAGATAAAGAGAGAGAGAGAGAGAGAGAGAGTGCACCTTCATGCCACCTGTCAACTTATGATGACCCTATGAATTTCATAGGGTTTTCCTAAGCAAGAAATATTCACAGGTGGTTTGGTCAGTTCTCTCCTCTGAAATATAGTCTACAGCACCTGGTATTCATTAGCAGTCTCCCATCCAAGTACTAACCAGGGCTAACCCTGCTTAGCTTCCAAGATCAGATGGGATCTGGTGTCATTAAGTAGTTTAGCTGCCCAAGGTGCTGAACCTATTTGGAGAATAGGTCAGTATTTTGGATAGCACCTTTAAAGTTTACAATAAAACCCAGAGGGAATCCTGCACCCTACTGACATGGAAGCCACCAGCTGCCACTGAGGCAGAGAAAACATGTTCCATTTCATGCTGGTAATAGCTGTACATATTGAATTTGACTGTGCAAATGGGGAAGAATTGTGTTTGTATGTGTTCATTACGACTTTAACAACATTGACAGGATTTTTTCCCCCACACTGGAAAGAACATCAGGGCTGAGATGGAGCATCAGAGATGTAGCTACAAAGTCACAGTTATGCTCCATCTCCTGATCCAGCCCCTGAAACCCACCTTAACCCAGTCAGCTGTCCCAGGTGACAAAATTCTTCTGTTGTGATAACTGGGCCTGTGCTGGATGATGTGATCAGCCCCTTCCTACCATCAAGCAACCGTACAGCAATAGTTCAAGAAGCAGAAGCAGGGACCATCCCTGGGGTCCTGTCACTACTCTTCATTGCACCATTGTTTGCTGGAAGGAGGGAACTGGTCACATCACCCTCCAGCACCCTGTTTGACAGCAC